AAATCAAGTTGTTGTATGGAAACTTTTTATTTGTGAAGCGTATTATATTTAGCTTCGGTGGGACCGAAGTTAAGAGTTTTAAGAGAAAAAGAGATTGCAAAGTCAACTAAAATTAAAAGCAAACGTTATTCAGTTATTTTTCTAATGCATTATTCGAATCCTGAATATATTCAACATTATACAAATTGAAATAATTAACTAGCAAATAATAATACGAAAACATGACAGCTGCTTATAAGTTAAGAAACAATATTAAAATGACAAAAAATAGTTTTACTAATTTCAGTGAGGTTTCTTAACGCAGCTTAACGGTTCTCGTTGAAATTCGATAAAAACGAATATGTGAGTGTGATATTGCGCCTGATTAATATCGCCTTAGGCTTTTAAGCTGCATTAAATACATATTTTAGGCTTACAAGGAATTAAGAAAAACAAAACCGCAATAAAATACACTTTTAATGAAATAACAGTGATGAAAGAGTATTAAAACGCTTGTAGTTTTGCATTATTATTGATTTTTGTGCAATTTAAAGTTTACGAGGCGAAAACTTTGCGTCACCACTGCGTTTTGCCATCGCAATCATTTATGCTGGGTTGAGTTGTTGTTGGTATTTTGATATAACTACATACATATATATTTGGCAACATTTTTACAGCATTTAAATTGAGGTGAGCGAAACGATTTACCAGAAGTTTGCGGCCAAGCAGCTGCATTGCACCGTTATCCTTTGTATGCACGTCAATTTTTCCACCATTTTCTGCACAAGCAAACGGCTGTCCTCAGTGTGTAAGTACACGCGTAAGCGCTGTTGGTATTGTTGTCGTTGTTGTTGTTGTTGTTGTGCCGTTGTGTGGGTTTCTGTTGCGCATTCACAGTTCCGGTTAGAGCGGAATTGCCTCAATACGCCATAATAGCACGTAAAGTGTTGCGCATTGCCGCTGCCACCGCGCAAACGACCGCTCTCCCTTCGCGACGCATGATTGTGTGTGCATGTATTTGATTTCGTGCAACCTTATTGCCATGAAGAATCGTTAGCGCGCCATATACTACTTACATACGTATGTGCGAAAAAGCATAACAAGCTGCATGGCGTACATTTTGTGGCAACCAGCAGCGTTTTCAAACATATTGCTTCTATTTGTTTTGTTCTCTTTTGCTTCTGTGCAACATCAACCGCAGCAGTGAAAAGTTGCGCAAGTTGAAGGATTTAACCTATTTGCAGCATTACTTTTATAGCACTTTTATGATTTTTGTTGTTGTTGTTGTTTGTAGCATTAAAAATTTTTTGAAGATTATTTATGAAATTTGGTTGCATAACTACCGTTAGTGCAAAACAATTGTGTTAAAAAGGAAAAAGTTTTGTCAAAGTCAATTCTAAGGCAAGTTTGTTTAAATTTTGAGAATATTAAAATAATAGTTGTTAAGTTGTAGCTTTTAATATCAAGCTTTTTGTTGATAGACTCCAGTTCTACAGTTATCCGCTTAATTACTGTTTATTAGTTTAGCTGCCTGCGAAGTTTACTTAACTTACACGTACAAAATGTTCAACTACATTGAAGATAATAGACTACATTGGCAGATTGGTGACACCATATATATAACTGTTATGTAAGAGATTTCTATTGCCAATAATTTTTAAAACTTTAAAGTATGAGTTTACCAAAAGTGTTTGTTCAGTTATGATAAACAAACACGGAGCTTGTTAAAAATGTATTAGAAAAACTTTTTATAAATTAAGACCACTGCTTATTTTCATTTTATTGACAGCTGTTAATTTTTCAAAAGTCAACAGTTCTTTATATAAGCTTCTTATGCATTAGAAAGCGCTACGTAGCTTTACATATGGCATATGTGTTATAGACTAATAAGGGAGCTGTCATATCCACTTGCAAGTCAGAAAAATTATTTTTTGTGATTTTTGAATTTATTTATTTTGAAAATTTGCATCTCTGATTCCGTAACCGTTCTCCAGGAGGACCTTCGAAAAATGTCTGACTGTCAGTAAGATTTTCTGCTCAGAATTATCTCAACAAAAACCAAAAGATTGTTATACAATAAATATAGATGAATACAGGTAATGATCGAAGCGCCAGTCGAAATTTTAATTTGAATCAACTTCAAATTTTGAAAAATATCTCAAATATGTATTTTTAATATTCTTAAATAGTAGTATGTCTATGCGATATATACAAAAAGTAAAAATTTGTTTGGAAATTCAAAGTGGATAACGAAAGCTAACGAAATTTGATCGAAGCTTAATTTCTTACGCTACTGTTCCATAACTACAGCTATACTATAACTGTGCGGCAATAGCAAATATCAGCTGTCACAATGTCCATAGGTTTCGCTATCACATATATGATCGGCAGCACCGATGTTATATAACCCATCACATCTGGTGGAATGCCCAATTGCTTGCCATACACCGTCAGCTGCGGCAGTATGGGACCCATTGCTGTACATAATACGAGTATATAAAAATATATATATATAAATAATGAATTTTGCGATAATTTCAAATCGAAACAATTTTATTTTTTACTTACCGGCTTGGAAGAAAAAGAAATGCGCCTTTATGGGCAAAAGATGTCTGTTCACTTTGACCATTTTTAAAAAACTGCTTCCACTTTGTAAACCACAAACTACGAGCGTAAATCGTAAGATATCAGTTCATTGCCGTTAAAATTATACGGTTTGATACTCGTTACTCCATGCGTTCGCTTAAGGACGCAAACTCTATTTGCATGTCCATAAAATTCTAACTTGGATTGTTATCGCTCTCAACACAATGGCGAGTGCACTCGCCTCGAGAGAGCACTAAAAAAAAACATAATAATTCCGTAATCTCATTAATTAAAGTACCAAATTTGCTGATTTTTCTGTAAACCCTCCGTCTTTGCGTTGTCGTCGTCTACTCACTCAGCCAGCAAACAACAATCATAATCGTAACATGTAAGGAAGTGCTAAGTTCGGATGTAACCGAACATTTTATACTCTCGCAAAGCAAATGGTATACTCGTTTGAGATTTCTTCGTGGATATTTTCGGTAGAAGGTCAACTATAGGCACTGGGGTCCACATATTCAGTACTTAGGGGCTTGAACAGTTTTGGTTCGATTTAGACAATTTTTGGTCACAAGGTGGCATACTTTAAACGTATTATTCACGCAAAGTTTTACCCTATATAATCATTCTTGCTTGATTTGCATACAGGAAAGTGAAAGAATCAGATGGAATTGAAAATAGTGTTATATGGGAGATAGGCGTGGTTGTAGTCCGATTTCGCCCATTTTCGCACTACAAGTATACTGTCTAATTTTGAACGCGGTTCCTATAAAGTCATCTCATACCATCCCAGATATGAAATTTAATGTCTCTGGCGTATTTGGTGCTTGGTTTATCGCGCTTCTAGTATTTTTTAACAGTACCGTTATATGGGGAGTGAGCGGGGTTGTCACCCGATTTCACCCATTTTCACACTGTCGATAGAGGTGCCAAAAACATTTGTTATCAGTGAATTTTGTTATTATAGCTTTAGCGGTTTTAGGAGATATGCACATTAAAATTATTAGGGCCGGGACCACGCCCAGTTAAAAACAAAAATTAATTGCGTCTGTCCCTCTCTAATGCGATCCTGTGTACCAAATCTTGTAGTCTTGTATCTTATTGCGGAGCTTATTTATGGCAATTTATTTGTTTTTGATTAATAGCATACATGCAATACCAACCGTCTCACGGTACCAAAAAACATGTGTACCAAATTTCATAAAGATATCTCAATTTTTACTCAAGTTACAGCTTGCACGGACGGACGGACAGACGGACGGACGGACAGACAGTCACCCGGATTTCAACTCGTCTCTTCATCCTGATCATTTATATATATATAATCCTATATCTAACTCGGTTAGTTTTAGGTGATACAAACAACCGTTAGGTGAACAAAACTATTCTACTCCGTTGTAACAAGTTGCGAGAGTATAAAAATGCCGTATATAAACAAAGTATCACAATTTAGAGTTTTTGTTTCAACGTAATTAGTTGCTATCATTTAGAGCATACCGTTATAGTTTCTACGTTATCAGTACTTTATAATGTTTTATATTATTTAAAATACTCGGCATAATAAATTCAAACCTAATCTAATCTAATCGAATCAGATCTCATCGTTCATAAGCAATAAAACTATATTTTTGTGACCCGAAGAAATACGCAAAGTGAAGTAAGCAAGTTTTAGCAAAAAAAGCAATGCTTTGAACAATAATTCATGTCAAATTTTTTAAAGATATTTTGTCAAATAAACAAGTTTTTCATACAACGACTACCGAGTATACAAAATTTTATAACTATTTAAATGTAAAGCCAAAGTGTTCGAAAGCTGAAAGGTCGTATTTTACGACATTATTTATCTCTAAAAAAACATCACGGTGCAGCAAATTAACTTTTGACATTGAACAAATGATACATTCTCACATCTCAAACTCTAAAAAACCCAACTTGCCTTAAAACTTGTTAGAGTATGTTTTTCAGTTTCATAAGTCACTTGAAAATAGTTTCGTCTTTGGAAACCAATTTGAACTAAAACTCAAGATAAAAATAATGATGTAATCACCTACAAAATAGAGAATGTTCGCATATCCACTACACAACTTTACAAAGCGAGCAACAAAGAGCGAAAGCAGAGCTAGTTTTTTACGTTACTATCTCTACAAGTACTTGTATATGTCTATTAGGTAAACAATCCTTAAGAATGTAAAATTGTAAGGGGCGTATATGTAATAGTAGATCAAGTAGCTTCAGCTTTAAACCATACTGTTTTTTTTTTTTCTAATATATATTATTTATATCAGAGTACGGTGAAATACCCGTTTTGCGTAGTGGTAGATCACAACCATTGTATAAATCTACAAGTAACCAATATTAAGATTTTCACTAATGCACACGCAAAAATATCCCTTTTGATACGGGTTGCCTCGAAAATTCTAGTACTAAATCACACTTGGTACGGGTTGCCAATCAATATTCTGCTACTAAAGTCACATTTTGTACGGGTTGCCAACCAATATGCTACTACTAAAACGTCCAAATGACAGAAATCTGCTATAGTGTGTTGCCGTGTTATATTTTAAAATTTATAACTTTAAGAATGTTTTTATTCCATATTTAAATATTTTTGGGTTGTTTTAATTCTTAAAGATCAAATTTACATAGTATTATTTAAATTATTATTTATTGTATTGAAATATTATTAAATGTTTCCAATTCTTCAATCTTTTTTAACTTACATGTTTATGTTTTTGTGAGTGAAAATTCTTTGTCTGTTGAATATTTAAATTCTTAGTTTACCGGTTTAGTTAATGTACGTTTTTCTGTTTAATTTCAATTAGGCGCCACGAATGGATCAAGCTGTTGGACGTAATGATTCCAACGGCAAAATATTTGTTTGCGTGCCAAAGGCATTTCTCGTTAAAGATGAGGAAGGGACGGCTTCTGTCAAAATTGGCTGTACCTGATTTAAATTTAAGAATATTATCACCTGCAGTGAAAATAGACAGGGCAATAGGTTGTTGTAGACAAGTAGGTAGTATAATTGACCAAAACGGACAAGACATTCAATTAGGTAGTGAAAGTTTAAACCCGATTGATCTTAGCTCTTTCCCAGTTAGAACTGTGTCGACTTCAAACACTAATATGTTTAAAGTTGAGACCTTGGGGAAATCCCTTCAACCCCTATATAATGAAGATCTTATATGGGTGAATATAGGCCTCCTGGGGAACCGAACACCCAAAAAAGATCGGTAACGCGCCTATATTGCAACCTCAGAGGTGGTGAGGAAAAGCAATAAATATATAATAATCTTTTGTTTCGAAAATATTCTTGAAAGTTTTCATTATTATTTCCATTACAAATACATGTTCCTAAGCAAATTGTTAAACTAATCCTTTTATTTAAAACTCTGTGTGAAAAAAAGGCATATTCGATCAGGTGTTCACGGCTGTTTCACGCACATAGGAAAACAGCTGATTCTTTGGCTACTTGTAGGCTTATACAATGATCACAACTATATATGCATATATTTCATCATTCTCGATCATCGAAGATCGAAATTGAGTTTGTCTTGTAGGCTTCCTTTTTTTGTAGTATTGACCAGTTCCATTCCATTCAACGATCAATATTGTGGCGAATACGAGTTATAAGCCTACAAGTAGCCAAAGAATCAGGTGTTTTCCTATGTGTGTGAAACAGCCGTGATCACCTGATCGAATATGCCTGTATTTGAGACAGAGTTTTAAATAAAAGGATGTAGTTTAACAATTTGTTTATGAACATGTATTTGTAATGGAAATAATAATGAAAACTTTCAAGAATATTTTCGAAACAAAAGATTATTATATGTATATTTATTGCTTTTACTCACCACCTCTGAGGTTGCAAGATAGGCGCGTTACCGATCACACTAATATTTTTGATAAAATTGGAAACATTTAATAATATTTCAATACAATAAATAATATTATGTAAATTTAATTTTTACGAATTAAAACAACCCAAAAATATTTAAATATGGAATAAAAACATTCTTAAAGTTATAAATTTTAAAACTAAACACGGCAACACACTATAGCAGATTTCTGTCTTTTGGACGTTTTAGTAGTAGAATATTGGTTGGCAACCCGTACCAAGTGTGTCTTTAGTAGTAGAATATAAGTAGGCAACCCGTACCAAGTGTGATTTTAATAGTAGAATTTTCGAGGCAACCTGTACCAAGTGGGATATTTTTGCGTGTGCATTAGTGAAAATCTTAGGATTGGTTACTTGTAGTCTTATACAATGACCAGAACAAATCAGAATTGACGATAAACTGCCAGAAGCAACTAGACAGCGAATTCGTAGTTGCCAGAATGTTCTAGTAGCGAACTTTTGTTAAAAATTTACTATATAAGGGCTGGATTGTGCAGCAGACACAGCTCTAATTATAGTGTTGCCGTGTCAGGAGCAATTAAGCTATAAGCAATAAATTGTAAGTTGGAAAAGCGAGCAATAAGTGTTAAGTTGTTGGAATTGTAAATAAAGATAAGTGTATAGTATTATATTAAATTGGGACTTTAATTTAACAATCCAGTGATCGAGCTCAAGCGTGAGTTATGGTTAGACGATTTATCGGGAAATCCGTTACAATATTTTACTGGGAGAAAAAATCGATCACATCCTCGATTAGAAAAAATCGACTGCTGCTGTGAAAGTGAACTTAAATTTCATCTCCATATATTTCTCAGTATAGAAACAGAAGAGTTAAAGACCTGATTTATGGATAATGAAACCCGAGATAATCATCTCGGTGACTATCCATTAAGCAGGCTATGAAAAAATCTTCTAGAAAGTTGAGCTACGCTGATGGAAGCTCGTTATTAAGCTTCGATTTTCTCCCGCTCGCACTAATAGTATTAAAGTATGCTATTGAGTAATTTCCTACTTATGTACATGAAATATTTGAGGGAAGCGAAAGGATGCGTAGCGAACGATCTAATATCAAAGCTAACTGTGACTGAGACACTCTAGTTTTGAGAGCTTTAAAAGTGATACAAGCCAGTAATAGCAACAAAACAAGAAGCCTAGCTTTCAGCAGTCAAAGTTCGAAGTTAAGTGTGACGAAATAAACCGTGCAGAATTTAAGAATAATTAAGTTGAAAAAACTAACATGACTTTGAAATATAAACTAGTTAAACACACTTCCAATCGAATCAAAATAGCATTTGTTTTCTATTCCAATTATCTTCACCGCACTACTGTATTTTTAAAATGTGATTCATCGAAAATTGAAATTCTACAAAGTATCAAAATTCCCCAACAACTATTTTTTCTATCAATTACGACTGCAGCTACTCGGAACCGCAATTAACGGTTTCCTTCACATGCTGATGAGAAAACGCTGAACAAACTCTACTTTAATGTACCTACATATGTATATGTACTTATACACATTTCGATATAATATAGACTCGTACATTATGTCAAATTGGTTTGGTGCGTAGCGGCATGCACGACTAGTGACGTCACTGCAACACCGGTAGCCAATGCTAAAAGCCAGTAAACGAAGCGAATTTCAGTACGACTCGTTTACGTGGGATTACCTCCTGCTTGTGAGGAAACTCCCCAGAAGTTTTACCCGAAATTGCACAAGAGTAAAGTAGATGTACATATGTGTATGTACCTATTACCGCAGATTCTACTGAAACCTTTTAGTCTTAAGACGATCAATATAAGACATTTGAAACGAAAAAGTTCTATATCTTTTGTTAGTTTTAAGCGATTAGAGATCAAAAATGGAAACCACACCAAATAGTAACTATTTCTGGATGCTAGAGCGCCTCTAAAATATTGTTCACGTTCCTTATACAGCAATTATATTTATTTATGTATACATTAAACCAGAAATTGTAAGCCTGTGTAGTGGATATGCGAACATTACAGGTTTCGTAGGTGATTACATAATTATTTTTATCTTGAGTGGGTTTAGTTCAAATTGGTTTCAAAGACGAAACTACTCAAGTGACATATCAAACTGAAAACATACTGTAACAAGTTTTAGAAGGTCGTGGATTTGTTAGCTATTAGCATATAAAGTTGGTCTTTGAAGTTTTGACAGATGCGTTTGTCGTAAGAATGTATCATCTGTTCAATGTCAAAAGTTAATTTGCTTCACCGTGATGTATTTTAGAGATAAATAATGTCGTAAAATACGATCTTTCTGCTTCGAACACTTTGGCTTTACATTGTATACTCTGTAGTCGTTGTATGAAAACATGTTTATTTGACAAAATATCTTTAAGAAATTTTACATGAATTATTGTTCAAAACTTGAATAAACTCTAAATTGTGATACTTTTATTTGTTATATATGGCATTTTCTATTCTAGGTTCTGATAAACAACTATTAGAGGGCAATAACACGACTGTACACCACACGTAGACGATTCTATGCCGAAGTAAATATTAATTATGAACAATGAGACAACGCAACGACGGAACGTTTACAGATAAATCAGCAAGTTAGGTACTTCAATTAATGAGATTACGGAAATTTGCTAAATTTTTGGTGTTCTCTCAAAGCGAGTGCACGCGGCATTGTGTTGAGAACGATAACAATCAAGTTAGAATTTTAGAAACGTAGCAACAGCTTCTAATTAGCAACGCTAACGACTGGATATGCAAATAGATTTTGCGTCTTAAGCGAACGCATGGAGTTACGAGTATCAAACTGTATATTTTAACGGCAATGAACTGATATCTTACGATTTACGTAGTTTGTGGTTTACAAAGTGAAGCAGTTTTTAAAATGGTCAAAGTGAACAGACATCTTTTGCCCATAAGGCGCATTTACTTTTCTTCATGGCTGGTAAGTAAAAATAAATTGTTTCGATTTGAAATTATCGCAAATTTCATTATTTATACATATATATTTTATATACTCTATTATGTACAGCAATGGGTCCCATACGCCGCAGCTGTCGTGTATAGCAAGCATTGTGGTTTTCAGCGATGTTATGGGCTATATAACATCGGTGCTCGCCATCATATATGTGTAGCGAAACCTATTGTGGCTACATCGCCGATTACTTTCGGTAATTTTGTGCGCCATAATGTTCTATATGCTTATAAATTAATTTATTGTTTTTTATCATTTATTTTGCATTTTCGTAAATTTATTTTCTCCTTACTCATTTACTGATGACGCTTTTATGCTGCTTTCTACTTTGTACGCCTGCCGTACGCATGCCACAATTTGGATGTAACGGATGTTTGAATTTCACTTGTTGCGGCAGATTTGGTGAACTGCTCTCGGAGGTAAGTGCGATTGTATTTTTGGAACAATTATTGGTAATATTAACATTATAATATAGAGGTCTGAGTTCTTAGGTCTTCGTCTTGATTTTATACTTTAAATAGAGATTCTATATGTTAAACCCCTACAGAACGGCTAAAAACTCTGATTCCAATTTTAAATGAACCAACTCATAGGTACGCCAAAAGGCACATTCTTTATTGACTCTGTGAAAATAGTCTAGAAAAGTCCATCGTATCTAAGTTGCATGTGCTGGATGGATAATCTCACTAGTTTTTACAGCTATAACAATTGGGTTCTCTCTCAACGACCTGAAGACCAGTCAACATTTCTTTTACTGTTTTCTTTTAATGATCATCTTTACTTTAGCTCAATTTCGATATGATTGATATATTATACTAATTCCATATGATCCCTGGACTGTACTTGATTAAGAGACTTTATAAGATCAGTAAATGGAATCGGCAGATCAAAAAGAAGCTCGTGCATTTTTCGGGCTCAAACTTTCGTATTAGAGTCTAGGTTACACGAACTGATGAAGAAACCATTTTTTGTTTATGGCTATACGCTTCTCGTTAATGAAGCTGTTTGATTTGCAGCCAAAATTTGAATTATCATTAAATTTCTCGAAGTCTAGTCAGCAATCTTTTATTTTTTGAATAAGAACAACATTTCAACTTAGCTAACTTGGATATAGTACGGTTCCGGACTCTTATCCGATTAAGAGACCTATAAGCTCAGTAGACAACTAGTAGATAAACGAGGCGTGCATTTAGGAAATCAACTGGAGTATAGCTGAAACGAACCGCATCGAGTAAAGTTGATACCATTCTTCCGTAGCTCAGTCTGAAAGGAATACGCTAGAACACTCGACATCTGTATGAGCCAAACTTAGAAAACAATCGTTATCTTCAAGCTAAAGCTAGTCTTAAGCTGAGTTGCTACTACTTGTAGTACACATCATGTTATATTTATGTTTATTTACAGCTCTTATTGTTATTGTAAATGTTTACTAATTTTCAAATTTTTTTTATTGATCTAGAAATTAACACCTACCGCACTTTGCTCGGCAACGCGTCCGGCGCGCTGTAGCTTTGACACCTATAATAACACCGATTTCGTTGCATACTTTACGGCTACCGCAACAGCGACTGCACAGCAGCTCAACTTAACGAACAGCGTGTGGGCACCAAGCGAGGCTAATATGTGCATCAATCCAGCGGATTATAACAACACCATTGATTTCCCGAACGCCGACAACATCACATGTCACTTCGCATCGGAATTGCAAACGGATTGCATATACAAAAATGCCACCTTCTGGCTATTTGTGGTCTTCATGTGTCGGCACCATGGTTTCAATGTGTCAATTCGATATCGGATGCGATTTGCTTCGATATGCTTGGTGAATCAGGAGGGTAATGGTGCAAGCGTGTTTGGGCACAATCGGTTTGGTTCTACTGCGCTGCTGGCGGTATTGCGGTGAACCTTGACCACGGATGCGCTAAAAGTTTCACACCGCACTGATTGTGATGATGATCTTCAGCGGTTCTGATTTGCTAAGCGTTTCAAAGTTGAACTTCAAAACTCGTCATCAGAGTCCATATCAAGGATGTCTGAAATTGATGAGCATCCAGCTATTGCTGTGTTCCTGGTTTCGCTACCATTGCCGGCATAATCGATTCATTCATCATTTACTACATGTTGGCATGTCGAAGAGGTGGCTGCCGAAACGGGCTTTATGTCGCAGATTAAGTTAATGGAAGTTTGTGTTGTTGCCGCCGAGTGCCTTGCTGGCGAAGTGCCATTCTTTCTACAGCGGAGATTATCAAAACTCGGCTACGTACATTGTATGACTATGTGCTTCTTCTTTACGCCTGCGTCTCGCGTTAATCGCTTGGATACCAAACCCTTGGTACTTAGTTGGTGTGGAATTGTTTTCAAGGCAGCACCTATGCGTTGTGCTACACGTGTATGTAGCTACGCGTCAGCTGTGGCACCACGGAACTTCCGCCACCGTTCAGGGTCTAATGGCTGGCGTAGATGATGGTTTGGGGTTCTCCATTGGTTCGCTGGTGGGTGGTCTGTCTCAAACATTTCGGTGGTCGTCGTAGTTTCTTCTACTTTGCAATATTCGCATTTACGGCATGTGTCTCCACATGTTGGTACGGCCGCGTTCACGCAAACGCCAATATCTGCCGAAGAGTGCTATCAAGTGCCCAACGAGCAGATGACACTCTGGTACTGTGGCTGTAGAGGAGAAATTAAAGCGTGATCAAGCATAAGACTGGAAATATATTACATTAGATTTGTTATTGTGACGTTTGATAGTTGCACCTTTACAATTTTATTGTATAGTTTTGAATTTTGTATTATAATGACAATTTTATGTACAGTTGGATAGGGTAAAATGTGAAGTTGTTTATTTGTACATTTATTATATATAGATATCGTATAGGTAGATTTTTTAAGAAATATTTATAACCGGAACTCGACTTTTATCATGTTTTGCAAAACTTCAATGGAGGTTAGATTCTTTCACATCATACATGACTTCCAGTAGTCTTCCAGACATGTAATTTGCCAGCAACGTTAATGAGATAGTGTGCTGATTATCTTCAAAGTTGAGACATAATTGAGTTCTGAATGAGTGCTAAATTATGGCTGCTTTCGATTCGCTAAGGCATAAAGAGTTGTGAATCGAACACAAAGTGCTGTAATTAAAATAGATTGACCAGAGAGCGGCGAGTCCAACAATTACTGATATGAACAGAATAAAATCGACTTAATGAAATAGATGATAACAAACAGTCATTCAGCTATTCAGATGCTCTCTGGCATTGTTTTCTCACATCTAATGTTTTCAAACATACTCAGCAGCGCAGTGGCCAACCGAATACGGTTTTAATTTTCTGGATAAGTAGTTTCTTGAAGACTTAGAGATCTGACACTATTTCGCTTTTATATTACTTATCTCAAGTAATCGAATTTTTCTATTTTGCAATTTTGAATTCTTCGAGTTTTCGAAACCGAAAATCTCATATTCGTAGTCATTTTATTCATTATATGTAAAGTGTGTTCTTTTGGGTGGTATATAGTTTCTTAAAGTAGCATCTGTCAGTGAAAGCACGTAATTTTTATATTCTTGTTTTGAATACTTAAAATTTAGTGAGCAAAACGTAGACCAGAACGGTTTATATCCAAACTAAGTGAAATTTTACATTTACATTTAAACTGTTAAGACATCTTCAGTGACATA